CTTTGAACTAATGATTGGTACTGAGTTAAAGAATGCACACACATAAAAGATTGCAGCCTTTTCAATACTCATTCAGTGTTAAACCTTTTTTTGATTGGGCATTGGTTTTTTCAATCTTGCTATGAATATGTTGATGTGTGAATTCATAACTGCTTTGAGAGAATGGAAAATTCAAAAATTTTAAACCTCAATCCTAAGCGAAGAATAAGTAATGAAAACTGGATAGAAAAAAATTGTTGATTTAAAATTGAAAATGATTTCACACTTACACAGCTCTGATATGCAGACGAAATCCTGAAGCCACCTGAAATCTCCAACCAACTAACTAAAATTTCAATCCTTTTATTTTCTTTCTGTTAGATTAGCATCCAGCTTTACGTCATCCATACTCTGTTCCCGCATACCAGGCCTAACGCCACAACAACGCCAACTGTGCAGCGAATCGCCCGACGCACTGATCGCATTGGGCGAGGGTCATCAGATGGGCGCACATGAGTGTCAGCATCAGTTTCGCGGTCATCGCTGGAACTGCTCACAAGTTTGGCAAGAAGGTGTTTTTGCGCACGTCATGTTTGTCGGTAGGCCATTGCAAACACGGCGCTCTTTCTTTAGCGATGAGTAAAGCAAAGAAAATAAAATTTTCATTTTATTGCAGGTTCCCGCGAGGCGGCCTTCACCTACGCCATCGCTAGCGCCGGTGCAGCGCACTCTGTGACGGCAGCCTGTGCGCGTGGCAACATTTCACTTTGCGGCTGCGATATGCGGCACAAGCCCACCAGCGTGCGACGCGCAAGCGCCGACTTTGACGCCAGTGGACTGCAGTCGGACACGCAACCCTGGAAGTGGGGCGGCTGTTCGGCCGACATCGATTTCGGCATGAAGTTCGCACGCAAATTTCTTGATGCACGCGAAATCGAAGGCGATGCGCGCAGTCTCATGAATCTGCATAATAATCGCGTTGGCCGGAAGGTTAGTATATAGATACATTCATACATACTATATGGAAGTGAGTAATTCTGATGCAAATGCAATTTATCATCTAAATACTTTTTCGCACAGCTAGTTAAAAACCTGCTAAAGACGGACTGCAAATGCCATGGCGTGAGCGGTTCGTGTGTAATGAAGACGTGTTGGAAGAGTCTGCCACCGTTTCGCCAGGTCGGCGAAGTGCTCATGCGGAAGTACAACAAAGCCAAACTCGTGCAAGCCGTCAAAGGCAAACATGGACTGAGATTAGTATTAAGCAAGTAAGTAAACAGAAATGTGAAGGAGTGAGTGTGTGCTTGTGTGGGCGTACGATCATTGATCATTTTGCGCATTGCTTGTGATTTTATCGATATACATTATCTACGTGTTGCAGGAAGAATCGTTTCGGCAAGCATGTTCATGTACCGAAGCGTATGGAGCTCGTCTATCTCCAGGCGTCGCCGAATTATTGCGAGCGCAGTGTGCAACTGGGCACACTCGGCACGACGGGACGCCTTTGCAATCGTACCTTGCATGGACCTCAAAGCTGTGATCTACTGTGCTGTGGGCGTGGCTACAATACGCATCAGATACGCCGCACCACACAGTGCCGTTGCCAGTTCAGGTGGTGCTGTCAGGTGCAGTGTGAGGTGTGTGAGGAGAACTATGAGGAGTTCACTTGTAAATAAATGCAATTTTAGTGCAGAAATACGAGCTTAAGTTAAATTTGATAAAACGAAATGTTTACTGTTAGACATTATAGCGCTTGTGTGCTGAATAAGTGGCTTATTTATTATTTAGTTCGCTTTCGTGTAAGATATTTAATTTGTATTGCAGAGATTTCTCTATACTCGAATGTATGTATTTATGTAGTATTAAGTAGGTTATGTTTGACGTCGTTATTCTTATGTATGTAGCTAGAGTTAGCTATTAATATATGTAGATTTCTTAAATTGAATTTTAAAAATAACTTATTTATGAAGTTTTCGAAAATCGAATTATATATTTACATAAATTATATTTTGCACCGATCAAAAACGAAAGAAATGTGTCGTTTTTACTTTAAGGTTTATGATGCAGGTCAATTATCACGGTTTAGTCCATATGAGACCCAGTCGACAGAGAGAGTTAGGGTGACTCGCTCGATAATTTTAAATTTTCAAATTTTATGTTTCTGCCATTCGTTAAAGTAAAGTAAGATTTTACATATATTTTTGTGCCTGAAGGTTCTAGAAAAAACTCACGAAAAAATCATGAAATAACCTAAACAAATGCCAAACAAAAACCTCAAAAAATAAAAATAAAAAAATATCCCGAATACCTGTGGAAATTCAAATTCGAAGAATCCCTAAAAAATCTTAACCGGAAAATTCTCGAAAAAATCATAAGAAAATTCCCGAAAAGTGTCTTAAAAGCATAAAGACTCCCAAAACATTCTAAAAATAAAACACTAAAGATCCCGAACTCTCCCAAAAAACTCCCGAAAACGTTAAGAATCCCTAATAAACCTTAACCGGAAAATTCCCCAAAAATCATAACAAAAATCTTGAAAAGTCTCTAAAAACCATAAACAACTCCGCACATTTCCAAAAACAAACTCTGAATGGGTGAAATAATAAAAAAAAACTGGTAAACTGCGGAACAAGTTCCTAAACAACATTTGAAATTACTCGAAATAGTTCCGCAAAAAACCCCCGAAACGTCTCGAATCGAAGAGTCTTGAAAAATCTCCGAAAAGTTTCGACAAAAATTTCGAAGAGTCCAAAAAAAAAGCTTAAATTTTCCGAAAAATAAAACACAAAAAAATTTAAAGCTTCCCGATAAGCCCAAAAAGCACAAAAAATTTTTAAAGCACATCCTGAAATATTCTGACAAATAAAAAAATCTTGAAAGGTTTCTAAATAGTCTCGAAATGTACCGAAAAAAGGTCCTGAAACGTTTCGAAAAATAAAACACAAAAAAACCCAAAAGTTTTCCGAAAAATAAAACAAGATAAATTCCGAAAAGTTTTCGAAAAAAAATTCCAAAAAGAGCAAAAATTCCTAAAAACTTCCTGAAATATTCTAAAAAGTTTAATACGAAAAACTTTAAAAGTTTCGCAAAACAAACCTAAACTAAAAACTTCCTCAAATATTCTAAAAAGTTTAATAGGAAAAACTTTAAAAGTTTCGCTAAACAAACCTGAAATACTTCAAAAATACCGGAAATTATAAAAAACATACTAAAATATACCGCAAAAAACACGTAAAAAGGTTTTCGACAAATTCCGAAAAGTGTCTAAAATTTTCCAAAAATATCCTGAAATATTTTGAAAAATTTAACACGAAAAACCTTAAAAGTTTCGGAAAATAAACTTTAAATATTTCGAATAAAAAAAAAAACATGCTAAAATATTCCGATAAATAGGACCCGCTACCTAAGAAAGGAATGTCAAAGTTGTGACTTATGCGTATGTTGTTGTAATAGCAGCTACAGGCCTATTCCTTTCAAACGTTAGCATAATAATTGAAAAAGACCTGCAAAGGCTACATGTCTAGGTTGCGATTGGCAGCCTAAGTGTAAACCCAGCCAAGACAGAACTTATCCTATATAGAAATACAAATTCCGGAATTCAGATTACCGTCGCTAGACGGAAAGACGCTTGCATTATCCGCCAGCACAAATTACTTCAGAGACTTGCCAGATAGGAAACTTAATTCGAAAATCAATATCGAATTTCGTAGTGAGAATGCCTACACAGCATACTATACTTACACGATAATCTTCAGCAGAATCTGGGGTCCGGATTAATAGTAACAGGTGCAGTAAGTCCTGCCCGATAGAAGCGCTAAATGCTATCGTCAATCTGATCCTTATCGATATCCACTCGAAAGAAGTGGCTATGAAATCGAGGGCCAGGTACTTCGGACATGAGTAGATTATAAATAAAATGCAATTAGGTAGGACAACATACTATAAGGTAGGTAATCTAAGCTTCAGCTGTAACGTGCTAATTTTCTTCTAATCCAAATTAGACGGGAGAAGAGGCGGAGGGTCAGATCGAGAAGGTACATACACTAACGGATGCAAGATGGATTTCGGTGTGTGAGAGGAAGTAAATGCCGAGGAACTCGGTGTTTTTCTATCTCTGTGATTGGGGAATGATACAAGCATCTTCCAAGCGGAAGTAAAATCATAGGCAATAGAGTCGGATATAAGAGTAAAGCAACAATATATTCTGAGGCCAGGTGGTGCTATTATTAGGGGCTACCATAATCGAAATCGGTAGATTCATTAGAGAATCAGAATGGTTCGACCAAGCGACATTGGATGTATTTAGACAAGCAAACGCCGCGAGAAATGAATCAAATGGCGCAAAATTGCGCTAATTGAAACCTAGAAGCGACTAGGAACCACTGCAACCAACCAACCAAAGAAATTCCCGTGCCCAGTTTTCACTTTAGAAAACTTTGGTTTGGAAATTGGTTACTTGTTTATTGTTATTGTTTCTGGAACTTTGCTCTAAATACGACTACACCAGTATTCTTATGATTAAGCTCGAATCTATTAATATCGCTTGTGGCTATTGCTCTTCAGGAGCCATCTTCAGAACAATAGCTTCCGTCATCCCTTGCCAAATTAGGGTGGGAAGAAACCCGGTTTCGGCATTGTGCAACTCGAGTGTAATATTTTGGCCGAAAAAAATTACAACTATGCTGGCTTGGTCATGTCGTAAGTATAGGTAAATAAATGAGTATGGCTTGATTAAAAGACAGCGATTCAGCACTCGTAAGTGGATAATAAAAGCAAGAGCACGAACCATCACAATAAAAGGGCTAAGTTCAAAGAGGGATGGAAAAATTTCAATGGCTAAGTAAAAAGGATTTAACTACGCTTAATAGTGTTCCCGGTGTATATGAATCGGTCAATTACCAAAAGGAATAAGTCAGCATTTTTCCAATATGGAAAATTTTATGCAGTTCAATTGAGCACCTTTATACGAACCCAACTGCATCGCCGGGATATTTTATTTTTTTATGTATGTTACCGCGGGGTTTCAACATAACTTCCGCGGACATTAGTTTCACCAAACCGGCACATAGGTTCCATGGAAGCTGTGTCGTGAAATTACTATCAGCGATCGATTTTTGTAAGTAATGTAAGACATAAGTTCCGCTCACTGTACAAATTGCTGTGGAGTTTTTAAAAATTCTTACATTTTAGTGTCAAGGCTCGAAGTCCGGCGCAAAATTTGATATTTTCGCTTAAACATTTTTGAAAAAATTGTCAATATTCCGAGAGCCAAGACGATCAATATGAGAGTACTATTTTTAACACTTTTTCCACGAGATAAAATAATGGATGGATATAAGACTTTTGGAGCACAAGCGATGTGTTTCAATTGTTTTACATTAGTGCAGCCAAATTTCGAATGATTTCGAAGCTGTTGGTTAAAACCGGTAAGTGGAATTATGACTTATACGGTTCTTTTTTAATTTTGTGCATTGGTTTTAGAAAATGGTGAATGAACTGTCTGTTTTCAGTTTTAAAATGCGCACCACTTCGGCTAAAGAAAGGTAATACTGCATTGGAAAAACGCTTACCTATGTACTAACGAAAATTGCTTCCGCTTTCTTTCGCTTCTCATCTCAGAAGAGGATGCTGTTTGTACCCAACTTTTGCGAGTTTGAATGGTGGTTATCAGACACCGGTCAAGAAAAAAAGCAAACCCTTCGGCGGGATTCTGAAATCGGTAAGACCTACAAGTAGGAATGTTGCGATACAAGTAAATACGAGTATGTACTTGATACTTTTGTTTCGATACCAACTACTTTTTTACTCGAATCGTTGTTTCGATGCCTACTTGGTATCGAATCGATTTGCGCAAGTGCCATATCTTGTCGGCCGTATTTTTCTATGGAAAATAATTGCATCGTTTTTATGAAAAATAATTGCTTTGAGCAATGGCATCGCCAAAATCTAAAATGTGGATATATATATTTCTGCAAAGTTAGAGATACCACAGCAAAGTGCCAGCAATGCTTTGTAGCCGTAAAGCTTTGTTGGAACCTTTCAAAGGTTGACCTTTTTGTCTAAGTAATCGCATTACTTCTAATGTATATATCGATACCTCTACTGAAACTGGCTGCCGAGATAGGTCGAACTTCCACTCAGGTATCGCAAAGGGTATGTTACAGATAAAGCATGAAAATTACTTTCGCCTTGTTGCATATAAAAGATGACAAATTATCGATATAAGTTGGTATAGATACATTCGGTTCGCTCATATAAGTAGTATCGAAATAGCGATTTGAATAAACTCATTTGAGTAGGTATCCATACCTTGATGGTATCGGAACGTCCCTAGTAGGGATGGGTGAATTCGATATTCGAGATTCGAACTTCAATCGAATATTAGCTCCAAAATTGCGAATTTTTGATATCGAACTTTGTGTAATTTGACTTCTTACAAGTCTTACCAACAAACTTTTTAATTTTTAGTAAAAAAAATTGTTTGAAAATTCGAAAAAATTCGAATTGAATCGAATTTTCACCACCAAATTTCGAATCGAATAATCGAATGGTTGGACAATGTTCGAAATTCGGAAAAAATTTAATTTAATCATTAGTCCCTACCTGCAAGTTGCTGTGAGAGGACCAAAACAATTTTTATCGAAGGTGGCTTTAGAAAAAGTAATCGAGAAAACTTCATTAGAAAACGATGAAGAAGACGAATTAGACATTGAAATTGAGGAGGAAGTGGATGATAACTTGATCGAGTTTTCTAAGAAAAATTCGAACGCAAACACTTCTGACAGGCCTCAAGGCGTTCCAAATTCTGGAATTCTCAAAATCTGTATAAACGGTAATCACAAAAAAATATTCAAAGTGTTGCTCGAATGATATTACAATTAACCCTTGGTATACATATAGTATGTGTAGTAAAAATTATATAAATGAAATAAATTAATAAATTGTCATTGTTGCACTGAAACCGTAATTGATTTTTGGTCCTAAATAGTAATAATTAGATCGCCAGAGAGGCGAAGTGACATCCAGTGTGATACTAATATGGTTTAGATCTGATCATTGGATCATGACGAAATAAACGGTACTCCTTAATTTTTATATAAGAGTTGAAGTCGGTTTTATTTTTGGCTTAACAAAAAATAGTTTTAGGTCTTTAAATCATCTCAAACATTAATTTTCCAAATTTAAATCTTGTTATCAGTCACGAAAAATTAAAAAAAAAAAAAATTTAACTAAGCCTGAGGGTAAATCAGGATTTTCATTATTTTTCTACCGAAAATTGTTTTGCACTCAAATAACCGGTTCCGTAAATTCCGTTAAACTTTCTCCTCTAATTTTAAGAATTTCCCATGCCAGTCAGCATTGCCAGCATGAAGCTTTCGGCACACATTCCAATAGAAATACTCACACGCTGCTTCTACATTTCTATTATTCGCTATTTGCCATTTGCTATGAACTTACTATCGTTCCGCTATTTCTACTTGTAATGGAATTTTCGTATTATTTACAACAAAATAGCAAAACTCCCAACCCTGCACTCCCGCACACTTCACACCCTCCCAAATAATACAAATGTGTGCCAGCAGCGCAATACGAATAGAGAGAAGTGACTAGAAAAATACGAGAGCGATTGGATGAGCGAGAGTGAGTGAGTGAATCGTTAAAATTTGCAATTTGCATATGAGTAAATAAGTACATATGTATGTATGTATGTATGTAGCGCATAGTATGAGAGCATGTAACCGCCTGATGTCCTGTGGCAATACGCTGGCGCCACATTTCATTGATTACAAGTGCCATTACCAATGGACGAGCGAGCGAACGAAGCGCATGACACAAATGGCCAAATGACATATACGATGAGTGGTACTCTGTACGCGTACATGAGTGATGACTGTGAGTGTACGTACATATGTATGTTTGTATGAAGTATATTTATCACGTGTGTGTACTCGCGTGTAACATAATTTTGACCAGCTCTTTGCCACCAATCTAACAAAGCGGGGGCTGGTAGGGGAGATTAAGGATGTAATTGGGTGTAGTTAGTACTGGAATGGTTTATGGTGTTGCCACTTTATGTCGATTGTTGCTCAAACCGAATTCATTTCGACTAATGCGAATTTCCACTCTTCTTCTAACATACATACATATCTTTGTTGCTGTTGCTTTGACTTAGTGAGTGAAGATAGTGTGCTCCATGCGCGTAGTTAGGTGAATAAGTTTTTCAGCTCAACCACGAATGCGAACGTTTTCACTAAACGGGCTTTTCGCACGATTCGGCTATACAACGACGGTGCAGCAATTCAATACTTTTGGGTATAACAGTAGCGGCTCGCCGAACTAGAATTCAGTTCTTAAGGGTAGTTAGTTGGAAAACGGCGTCAAAATCGGGCTAACGGTGCCGCACAATTGGGTTGATAACACATTTTTTTTTCTATTGTACTAAAACTAGTGGAGCAGAAGGGGGCTAAAGAGGCGCAGGCAGAGGGCCAAGTAGCAGAAAAAATGTATATATAAATTTAGTAGTAATTGCAGAAAAAGTGTATACGGAGGTGGAGAAAACATAAAAAATTCATTTAAAAAAATTGTGTTCAAATGTGGAGAATTCCAGTATCGCTGTATAGCAAGAAATCGAATGCATTGTGCAACCCACCAAATATCATTTAAAAGGTATATACATTTTTAAATAAAACAAAATGGTGAAAAGTGTACAAAAAGATATTTTTGGTTTGAGAAAATTCGACATGAAAACCTCAAAAAGAAGTTGAAATGAAATGAAATTTTCAGTAAAGCAAAAAATTGTTGGAAAATTCCTTTGAAAATTTCCTGAAGCAAATGTGGAAAAAATGAACGTGAAAATTTTGTTGGGTATAACAGAGAAGACGGTGTAATGACCAAGCAAGCAAGTGATGTGAAAATTGGAGTGAAGAGCGCGGGCGGTGTGGCGAAGAAAAGTGGCAGGAGGGAGTTTTCTAGGTACAGAAAAGTGTGTGCGAGTTAAGGCGAAAGGAGAAGTGAGTGTTGGTGAAAATGATGGAAAAATGCATTACTCCTGCACACGCATAGGCACGCACACGCACAGTTAAATATGTGTGGAGTATCTATTTATTCCTTCGGTGTGTGTCTAAAAATAGATTTCCCGAAAAGGTATGACGATGTGTGCGTGTCTGAATGGGGAGCGAAATAAATTCGAAGAAAACTTGAAAAACAAAAAATATAATGAATTTACTACAACTAAACTGAGCTGAAGTTGAAAATAAATGTTAATGAACACAAAAGTTGACAAATAACTCACTAAAATTGCGAAAAAGTGAAAAGAAGACGCTTAAAGCCTTCAAGGGACCAGACGTCTCAAAACTGTGCTACTGTGTTAAATATTAAGTACCTACTTACATGCTTACATATCAACATAAGTATGAGTACATGCACATGTACATTAGGATGCCTTACAAAAGAAAAAAGTTATTTTTCCACCGGAGCTATAAAATTTGTTATATTTGAGACGATGCCTAAATATTTCGCAAAATATTACGATTTACGTAAGCTGTACCAATTTGAAAATACCACCGAAATCTCATTATATTTATTCCATTGAAAAAATTTTATAAATTTAAAAAAATTTTATTTATATTATTATTTTTTGTTTTTTAACAAATTTTATTTATAAAAAACTCGATTTTCAGAGGTACTCTTTCGGCCACGCAAATATTACCACCTCTTAAAAAAAAATCATGTAGAATTATGTAAATTTAAAAAAAATACAATATATAATATATATACACAAGCCTTGATTTGATACCCTTTTCAAAAAAAAAGTAAGTCGAATTTTGTAAATTAAAAAAAAGAAAGATTTTTTTTTTAAATATAATTCAAACTTTAACAAAAACCATATAAATAAATGACTCTAAAAAGCTTCAAAACTGTTTTATCAAAATTTTGCAAATTTGAAGTGGCCCAAAAATTCTCGTTGGTTTTTGAAAATTTTTTGACGCCGGTCTTGTGTATTATAATTAAAATGTTTAATGAATTTTGTACAGATTTGGTAACTTTTATATACATACATATATAGTTTTTGTTACAGTCGGACCTATATTTAAAATTTATTTTTTATTAATTTACAAAACTCGACCCAATTATTGTTTAAGTGGGTTAAAGTTTTCGTAGCCACAAGCGTATATTCAAGTCGGTCCAGCTCACCTTAATATTTTTCCAAAATATTTTGACGGTAGGGGTAAAATATAACACATTTTATGATTCCATCGAAAAACAGTACCGATTTCTTTTATGGAGAGTGATGCAACCTAGTGCACATACACATGTACATGTGTATCCACAGAATTTCCATAAATGCGTGTGCATGCATAATTTTAGGCGTTCGAGCGCGAGATGCGACAACGACAAAGGCATGAACACATCGAACTAAAGTTACACTTCTCAAACACCATATACATTATATATATATATAGATACATATGTATATGTAAGTATGTACATACCTACTAATGCTTAAAGGGCGTCGAAGAGCATGGAGCTTCAAGTTTCATGCTGGACGGCGACTGTTCCGAAGTAGGCCCAAAGCAGAGCAGCGCAGCATAGAGCAGGGAGGCGCAGCGTAGAGAGAAAGTAGTAGCGCAGGTTCATTGTATTAACTCAATCTAGCGTGTGGAGGTGTGATGTATATCGATTGAAAGCAAAACAAAAATTTATTATAAATTACATCAACCTACATGTGATATGGCCTGCGAACAGTTTGTGTCACTACCACTATATACATATATACCGACATACATATACAAACGCTTAAAAGGCACATGCATACACCTACAAACATTTACCATATACACACTAAAATAAATTTGTATGCGTTAATGTGTATGTGGGTGCGTTTAATCGCTTAGTAGAGTTATAAAAATATCGTAGATTAGGTATATGTATTGAAGAGTACCACAAAACATGCATATTCAGATACATATTTAAATGCTAGAGAGCAGTAACTTGGAGTTACCCAGCGCAACAACAAAATGTACTGCAACGTTTTTAGCGGCTGCAGGGCATATCCACTAATGGCGCTTTCTTTTCTCGAAAAAAAATGTCACCTTCTCATATGGCAACATTGACAGAGAGTCGAGAAAAGAACACGAAAGCTGGTCAGCCCTGGCGCAGGGCAGAATAAATGCAACTTTATTGCGAAAAAGGAAACTCTATAAATGTTTCCATGAAATGCGTATCTACAAGTATTTGTAACTCAGTGCGCTCCAAATGGAGCTAAACTCCAAATGAAATGTGCAGAAGAGTATAAAAGAAAATAACGAAAAAAAACTAGAGTAGAGTGGAGTACACTTAATGTCGAGTGTGTCATCTGAGTAATTTTTAGCCGCTTTTGATGGAGTTGAGTGCTGCCTGGCTCCGGTTCTTTGCTCCGCAAGAGCATCAAATATTTTAGCTGCTTACCGGCGGGCGGGTAAGCGGGTGGGTGGTTGTGCTCACTTATCTCTTGTCTATGTATTGAATATGTGTCAGTGTGACTATAAGTTAACTGTTTGACTAACTGAGAGACTGACTGCATGGCTGTGTTACTTCCCTGCAAAAAATTGTGCGACTAATCTCTGAAGAGAGTATTCCGAGATTACTCTCAATCGGGTACAATAGGGCATTAATTAGTCGCAACTAGTCTCATACGGGTACTAATGGAGATCAATTAGTCTCGACTCATCTCTTATGGGTATAATTGGAGATCAATTAGTCCCCAACTCAACTCTAACGGGTACTATTAACGATTTAATGATATGTACGCACTTAGGCAATGCAATTTCATGTGCGGGGTTGGCACGCAGGGAGAGTATTCGCCTAACAAAACTGAGCACCCCGGCTCGAATCTCAGCTGGCGCAAATTTTTATTTTTATTTTTTAAAAGTGACTAGTCGCTTTTTATACCCGTTCGGGTATAAAGGTGAACAATTAGTCTCTTCATAGGACATGCTCGAACAAAAGCGAACAGTTCATTCCATATAAAGAGATCAAAAGTGGTATTAGTCGCATGCTCCTTTGCGATTGCTCCCGGAGTCATCCCGGATTAGTCCCATTTTTTGCAGGGTAACAAGAACATTCATATATGCAGTAGGTATTTATTAGCAAGCTAGGTAGTTAATCTAAAGTAATAAATAGGAGATTTGTGCGCTAGCTTGTCTATTTTTTTGAAACTTTTTGGATGAAAAGTAAGGAACTGTTTTATTAGAAAAATGCAAATGGCAAATGTGTATGCAGAAGAGAATCCAAACTCAGATGGCACATTTGCCAGACAATTTCTGATATCAGACAAGTCGCACAAATGTCTGAATAAAAAGTTGTCTATTTAGACAAGTCTTACAGGTTTCGTACAGATTTCTGGGCGAAGTGTCTAGAGAATTTTATGTATTTCCTTATCCGACATGTCTGATCGAATTATTCTTATTTCCCAGGATTTTTTTCTCAGGTATCAGTGAGATATCCGTCAAAATCGTCGATGATTAAGTCAGAATTACCCACGACGTGTCGGTTAGAAATCATAAAGTTTTCCCAGAAATCATAAAGACTTTTTTGCCGACGAGTCTGACGGATATCTAACAGATTTTTGGTAAGTTTACTAGTTGGGAAGATAAGCGAGGTAGAATGATAACGAAGCACGCGCAAAAGTATGAAAATTTTCTGTTGAGAGGATGGTTTTGATAAAGAATAAGACGTGGCAAAAAGGTAGTTTTCTGTTGTGAATAAAGCATCTTAAAATTTTAGTCGTGCCATTAAATCGATCGCGCAAAATCTAAAAACCCCGAATGATTGCTATGAGTTTAGTTAGTCTATACTCCGAAAATCCCATAATCCGTGAATCGTTTAATTCGTTCATATTTCAATAGACTTCTCACTGATTTATTGAGAGACAAAAAAAATCAATAATAGCTAGAAAAAAATAAGCTCCTAAAACTTTGTGTTTACTAAATATATTAAAAATATAGAAAAGTGTCAATTCTGAAAAGAAGCTTGTGAATCGATTTTGAATGGGACTACAAAAAAATAATGATTCTAAACAAGTATGTTATTGATACACTCAGCGGATTTCAAATGCATCAAAAGAGAAAATAAATGATATCAACAAAAGTAAAAACTGTAAAAAAATGCTCATTTAAACTTTGAAAAGCTTTTATTTTATTTGTCAATGTTATTGTGGCTTATTAACATTTTATTTTTAATATTTTTATTGAGCTTTGTACCACAATTGTTTATAAGGAAAAATTGAAAAGGCAACAAAGTCTAAGTTAAATTATAGCAGCTATTTCGAAGATCACCACATCGCTCTGCATTTAATAGATGCTATTTTCATATATCGGAAACACGAAACAAAAATCTGTATTAACATATAAGAATCGTTTTATTACGAGTATCATTTTATTTCAAAACCTCCTGGAACTCAAGATACAATAACAAGCACATCCGCATACTTATTTAGCTACAGGAAAATGCTCAGTTTGAATTACATTTATTACAGTCATTCAAAAAATTTTGATTTGAAAACGAATTTCCTAAGAAACTTCAAAATAAGGAGCAGTTTATCAATTCGTCGGAATATTTTTTTCTTAGCATATAATATAATAAACGTGATGGCCGGTACAAGTAATATATGTATGAATGTGGATATATGCATAACGACCGCTTAAAATCGATCTCAAATTTGTATTTTTTTTTTGTTGAAATTTAAGGTGTATGTTATGTAGTTTGACTATTGTCAAATAAATCTAAAGCTTTGTATTGCATGCGCGCCACGTTTTTCGTTTTCAATCTCATAAATGGTTTCTAATGACTTCTGCTAAAATTTTAAAATGAAAAGTTATCAAAACAAATTCTATGGCACTGAGGAATATTTTTTTCTTATTTTTAGTCCATTTATATAATATATATATTTTGTAGATTAAAAAGTTATTTTTTATTTAATTTTTTTTTGTATGAAATTGAATGTGTTGAGAAATAATTTGCGAGCGAGTTGGCTAAACAAAATCCTGGCCAGGATATTTTTAATTAAATATTAAAATAATATTTTTTATTAAACATATGAGTACAAAATTAAAAAAAAAAATAATGATAATTTTTGAATATTTAATTAAAAATATCCTGTCCAGGGTTTTTTCCGACAACCCACTCGCGAAATACTTCTTTACACGTTAAATTTCATACAAAATAGATTGCATCCATTAAATAGATGGGTGATCTTGTCGGATCTTAGATCTTCGACTATAAAGGCCAAATTAGAGGTGCCATAACCATAATGCCTTAGCCAAAACTTAACGAGCAAAATACTTCAGAGCTGCTTATGGTTATGGTGAAAAACGAAAATTAAATAGATACCTACGGTTATGGTTATGGCTCTGGTGCTATAGTAAGGAAGCAAATAGTAGTGAAAATAATTGCAAATACATTAATTTCTTTCATACCGCACTTTAATATGTTGATAGGTCTTTGGTGTCGATAGAACTTTATTAAACCTAAATTAAAGCGTACTGATGATACCTTCTATGCATTCATCAATGGATATTGATCAATATTATTGATCGTCTATGGACTGCTTTACATAGCCGAATGTAACTAAGGAGAATATTTTGATTGAATAAAATATGTCAACTTAAGCCACCTGCAAACATACAAAAGAGATTAGTGGCATATGCGCATATCTGTTATTATTTTCGCAATCATGATTTTTTTGGACTTGGCTACTGAGTTTTGTACTGTGATTTTTGATCATTAGAGCAGTCAAACTGACGCAATTCCTTAACCGGTAGAGAATATGCCGTCTTGATTTTAAGATAAGGAAATTATTTAAATAATTGCAGTGAGAAGTTATAAGCTGAGAAATTAAACGATTCGTTTTTGCTTTTGTATGAAATAATGTTACTCATACGCCATGTATCTACGCGTTCGATCAAACTTACTAGGAACAAAGAACGTAAATCTATAAGAAGAGACAATACGTTATAATTGTAACGAGTGGGAACATCAGGAGCGTGCTTTCTCTTTTGCCCAAATACGTTTTGTGATTGGATGAAAAGAGATGTTCACACTCGCTACAATTATAACGTGTTGTCTCCTCTTATAGATTTACGCTCTTTGCTAGGAAGAAATTAACAATTGATTATGTGAAAGTGACTAGTCGCGGTGCGGTAGGATTTGTACGGTTTTGTTAAAAAATAATTTTCTGTTAGAAAAAATTAATTAAAAGTTGAAAATAATAAAATTAATAGTCAGAATTTGTTAATATGTGAGTGTCGTATAGCTATGCTAAGCACTAATCTTTAATATCGTAAAAATTAAAAAGAAAATACTCTGGCCGAAGATTTGAATTGCGACCATTGCGACTGTTGAAGCAGCGCGAGCAAAATGACATACACACTTATTCATCACAATTTGGAAATGCTATCAGCTGACTGTCTCTTTTTGTTTTCACCACACATTTGTGACTATATATCTCTTACTGAATACCCGAATCGTCTCAAGCAATAAAAAGTGTAACTATTTTATAGTTTCAAATTGTGTGGTTTGAGATTATTCTGACTTACAGAATACCTCAATTCTTACGTAAGTGTCGGCCCTCGTAATTCTTAAATTTTCCATGTTGTAAGTACCCTTGCTAGGCCCATGTTCGCTTCAAGGGGCGTGTGTGTATCGGTAACAAAGTTCTACGGGAAATGCTGGTGAATACTCTTTTTACTATGGTGAGGCAGTTTTGCCAATCTGCTGTGTGAAATGAAATCTTTTTGCCAGCAGCAAATTTTTGAAAACCGCAGATTTATGGGGAATAAAATATTAGTAATTGAAGAGAAATTAATATTTTAAGTAAACATCTAGCATCATTGAATCCAATTAATCAATTTAAGCTTTTATTTAACGAACATTTGTGAAAATTTTTTATGCATATCTCGAAAATTTCACTAGCCTTATGAGTTACTGAAATTTTATACTTGTCAAGAATTGACTCACACACTCTCAAGATATCTAAAATTGTTTTTAACTCTGTTTACTATAGTGAATCAAAAAATAAGAAACAAGGCGAATTTATGTAGGTGATGTTACTAGATCAGCTGCCAAATTAAAAACCCAGTAGCGAAATTGTCATCGGTGACATCGTCACAGAGCCCAAAGTCATTTGAGACGTAACTTTTCCCTGCATGACTCTTAAGTGACTAATGCATGACATTCGCTACGTGGAAATTTTGTTTGAATTTCCCCACACACTCTTACAGATTTTGACAGTTTATGCCGCCAAAGCAAAAACAAAATACATGTAAATTTTTGTTTTTGTACTCCTGCACTGAGGCTTGATACAATTGGTTGCTGCCAAGAGGGTTCAAGTGCCATCAGACGGAACATAAAATTAAATTTTTTTTCCTTCTTAATTACGAAAAAGCATCTGCGAACTTCACAAAGCCCCATTTTATAACGTACATACTCACATTTAAAACGAGTTGGATTGGTGCTCTTTCATATGCGTATTTTTTTTTAATTTAGCACAAATTTTAGCAAAATTTGTTTCCCTCAGTGTGCTATCACCTTATATTAATTCGCCTTGATAAGAAAATCGTTTGTGTTGTTTAACAAAAAACCGCATTAAAAAGCAAACTACGAGTGTACAAGGTTTCTGCCTCCTTCTCACCACTTTTCTTCGAAATCGATCAAAGCTTAGCTCGATCCTTACAAGTCCAAATATAAGCTCATGTCTTGAAGAGAATAAATGTACTCATTCCTGTGAAGCAGGGTTTATTTGCTTCGGCAAAGATATAGATAGAAATTGCCTCTGACGTTCCATTTTTATGAAAATCAGAAAACACTAGATAAACGCAGCAATCAGAAGATAAGTGAAAGAAGGGCTGATCCTGATCCTTAATTTGAAGCCAACACAAGCCTTTATAACAGGCGCAGCCGCAAAAGGGCCTTAGACTAAGGGATTCAAAATTCTGCAAGCAACCATATTACAGGAACGCCACGTCAAGCTGGAATTTTAGTTTTAAGATTCTCATAAATTTTCCAACTAGGGGGGATTGGGATGGCGGCCTCCTGGCGGCAAATGAGTGTTTTCCATTTACATCGATGGCTCACAGCGGAAAAAGGGGTGGACTTAGGTCTACACTTTGGTGACCTACAGATAAGGCAATCATAACGCCTTCCTGATAACTGCAGTGCGTTTCAAGCGCGGATCTGTGCCGTAGAGAAGGAGGCTTATCTCAAGCGGAACAGTAAATCTTTGTCATTTAATGTTATAGTAATCATTGAAAGGCGGCAGTAAGAACATTGGGTTTTAAGGTAGTAAAATCGAAATTAATTCGGAAATGTGCAACGCTGGCTTCGCTGTGTCACGTCAAAACCTCTCTCCGTGGTTACCTGAACATTGCAATTATCGACTGGAACGAAATAGCCAATGAGATGGCTAGACACAGCTGGGAAAAGCCAATTTACCGACCCGAACAGCTCTCTACTACCATCGACTTCTGATCTACCGGCCGTAACTAATGACATGTGCGTCAATCGCGATGGCTGTGAGGTCTTAAGATCATTATGTTGTGCCCTAAACAAAACTGAACCAATGCTCAATCAATGCGGTTTACCAACAAGCTTCCTCTGCAGAAGCTGTGAGGATGAGAGGATGAATAATCGCTTCACCACTTCCTTCCTTTGCCAATGCTTTAAAAGAAAAAATAGTCTCTAAGGAGATGGTTACATTGTTATCAGATAGTTGTGAAATAAAACGAGTTTTACGTTTTTGATTTCTAAATAGGTAACTTTGCTCCCCGTATTAGCAAAATTTACGTAAACCATTACGCGTAAAACAAGACGAATTCAGAATTTGTAAAAATGAAAACAAGAAAAATCTCATCATCTGTTCCAGCAACACTGCTCGGGATCATTTTAGGACCACTTCGGAACTAGTTCGGGACTTTTTCCGGATCACTACTAGCGACTAGTTCCGGACCATTTCAGGACACAGATGTGTACATATCAAATTTCATGAGAACCTGCCACTCACTTTTAATTACAGAAGGAGCAATTAAATAATGCTCCACGCAATTTTTAAATTTTTTTAAGAGGATAGCACAACTAGATACACATACATATGTACATAAGTATAAATGTAACATATTTAATTTTTACTGCCTGCCACTTTCAGTTCACGTGAAATTGGACAAACAAAAACTAGGCTTTGAACTGTGTAGTGTTTTTTGAATTTTAAACTTGCGTGAAAAAGGAACTATATTTATATGCCTAAAAACGGTGTTTCAAAAAATCCATTGTCCTTTTTAAAATGTAAATATTTTTCCAACCAAAAATTAAAATCTTACGTCTAATTTTGTCTCTACATGTATGCAAAACAATAAAAATAACCCGCCAACTAATTCGCAAATGTCAACAACCTCAACAGCGTCATGTAAATATGTAAATCGCCAAGAATAGCAAATATAAATCATTACAACGGCGACGGCAGCGGCGGCAGCTACACTCATCCAACAGCAGTAGGAACAACAGCCAACTAACTAACCGACCAATCAACCCACAATAGCTAAAATAGTAGTCAGCCAAACAACAAGAACAACGTCTGGGTCGACAGCCAATTGACCGTGCAATCAAATGACAAATAACAAGCGACAACGGTCATAGTCAGCAACAACGCCTAAAAGTAGATTATCGCAACCACGCGAAATTCAAAAAACCACACACACACACACACACACATGCATCCAAACGTGGGCTGTGCCAGCATGCAAAAAACAAAATAATTGAAAGCAAAAGCAAATTATTATAGTCAGTTGCTCAACCAACCAACCAACCAACCAAATAGCCAGCCAACTGACTGCAGAACGCATTCCCCGGACTGCCACAAGAATTTCTTAAGTGTGGGCAGCATTAGCAGCTGGCAGTCGGTAGTAGCGACATTCCTCAACCGCCAGCCGCCGAGATATCCTTTTTAACCCTCGTAGTGTATGTGTAGCTGTGGTGAACCGTGTAGGCGGTTAATTGGAAATTTACTTCTGTCAACGGTTGTGCCAAGAAAGCAGTCAAAATTCACCGGCTAAGCAAGAGTGGTAAGTTGATGGACGTGGGGCATGCGCTGCTTGCATACATATTGAGTATGTATGTATGTATGTATGTATGTATGTTTGTGTGTGCAGCGCAAGTAGCTCCTATTTATCCTTTATATCTACTATTTATATTCGTATGTGTGTATGTATGTATGTATATGTATGCATACTGTATGACTTAAATTACATGCATTTATGCAGGTTAAATTGCCGGCAAAAGCTAAATTGATTTCGTAAACTTGGTAAATGCAAAATTTCTATGCAAATTTATTCATTCACATCCAATTCGCATACCTTTTGATATCAATATGTACTCGTATATACGTATGTATGTGTGTATGTATATATCATACAATGATGTTTATACATATATTTAGATGTATGTATGTATGTATGTATATGTATTTTTATGTAAATAAGTAAGTAGTTGTGTAAGCGCTTAAGTAGTTTGCTTGGCAGGACCAATATAAATGATAATAATACTCACAGCGTCGTATTTATGTCGCGATTGCAGACATACATACATAAATAGAGTATAGATAGTGAGTAGAATGAGCGTGAAGTTAGTCAAGCCAAGTATTTGAATGAGGTGCATTCTTCTTTGCAGGCATACACATTACATATTTATGAGACAGGAAATTAAAAAGCATTTTTAGAATGACTTTTTAGAAAGCAATAATGCGATGAAAGTACTCATATGTTAATATTCAAATTAATAAATTTTTTTCTCTTAGTTCAAGGAATGTTATTATATTGGCCATATTGGAGAGGTAGTCGTAGTTTCTCTTTTTTTCATTTAATGTTTATTTATATTATTTGCTGTATCATTTATTTTTTTTTTATAACCCTATTAGCCTTCTGTTGTAATTTAAATAAGCGGGCATTGAGTGGAACAAAAATTAGATGAGAAAATGTATTGGCACAATGAATTTTTCACAATGCATGCAACATTTTTATAACCGAGCACACTTGTGCACATGGGTATTATAACTTTGATCGCATAACGGTTGTTTGTAACAGCCTAAAGGAACTGAAATGCTCAGAACCATAAGAAGAGTCGATTAAACGATATCCGTCTATCCGTCAGTTAACACAATAACTCCAGAAAAACAATAGATATCTCATAGATTGCTCTTTATCCAAGAAGGCTGGTTGTGAAAATGGCCGAAATCACACGAAAACCATGCCGAGCTCCCTCGCATATAATGATTTTTTTCGAAAACATAAAACTGCGTAATTTTCGCAAATACTGAATCCAAATTGTTGAAAGTTATAAAATTGTTGGAAAATAGGTGTGGCATGAATAAATGCCGTATCTCAGTAGCTGCTTCACCAACCCCTACAAAGCTCGTCGATTATGAAGGGAAACTGAACTTCAGTTTCGTTGTCGGTGCCTGAAGTGGTACATATGGCAACTAGCCTCTGAAAGTTGGAAACTGAGTTACAATATCTACAACTGCATTTTGTGGTTTCCAGAGTAATTTTTATTGAGAAAATTTAATTTTTTTATCAACTGGGTTGCTGATAATCATAATATACATTTTAATTTCGTTGCTATCAATTGACTTTATTTCCCACCCTATTGCGAAATAAAGTCAATTGACATTATTATCTTTTCAAAAGCGAAATAAAATCCATTGACATTATTGCTCTTTCAAACATTAAATTTGCTTAGCGTCGCGGCGGCCCGCGTACCCCGCGCGACCGGCGCGCCACACCCTGTCACGCTACGCAGTAAAAAAGCATATAATTTGTGTTTCAAAAGTGTGTGAAAATCATTCAGTTAACTTACATGATCTCGGTTCCGATATTAAATAATCAATAATTGTTTATACCCGCATTTTAGCACATTGGCTTGTTGAATGTTCCATCTAATAAATAGTGTCATCGTTCTCCTTAGCTGCTTTTAAATGATGTCGTCACACATTGCTGGCGGAGACATGAATACACTTTTCTATAATTGTTTCCTTATAGAAAGGTTGGTTTCTTTTCCACCTTGACATTCCGAATTCGTTTAAAATATGCTAATTTAAGACACAGAATTCTTTCAGTGTTACTCCGGGGTTTTTGGACATGGACTATTTCTTTATTAGTGTAGTGATAGTGTTCGCATTATTTTTGTGGAAACAAAAGATGTTTTGCCAGTTCTAGATAATTTATACACTCTTTCTTCAAATATTTCTCGTATTCCAGCTGCGATTTGCGTTTAGTTTTTCGCATCATGTTTTTACTGTATTCGTAATTTTTTAATAAAATCAATTGGTGGTAGTTCAGGATTAATAGCACCACACTGGGGATTTGGCAATAACCTTTTTCATCTATTTAAAAACAACACTTACGGGGCAATTTTTATTTTACGAACATTTTCTTTCTATGAATCGACATACTTTAAGCGTTGTTGACGCTATTTCCATTTGAATGAGGAAATAACGTCAATGACTTTATTTCAAAATTTTTGTTGACTTTTGAAAAGGTAATAATATCAATTGACTTTATTTCGCACCAGGGTGGGAAATAAAGTCAATTGACCTTATTTCCGTTGATCTTGTTACCTATCACCATAAGAAACCCTTTGCAAGTTTTTTTTATCGAAAATAAGCACGCTGACTTCTTTATAACTGTAGTTTACATGTATTCAACAGCTGCGATCAATCAGCAAATACCAAAATCGATAATGTTATTGAGCTTTGAACCACGACTTTTGTTTTGTTTGGGAAAAATGGAAAAAGCAAAAAAGTTAAAGCGCTCCAAGTTGTAGCTGTTGTTTCGGTGTTTGCAATAATCTTTTGGCAGTAAATAAGATTATCACAAATTCTTCAAAATAGGCATGAAATATTAACGAAATTTTAAGGAGTATCTTTTTTCTGTAACGATTTTTTTACGAATCTTCAAAGAAACTTATATGAAGTGATTGACATAAACTCGTAAAGATATTTCTTTATGAAAAATAAAAAAAAATCTGAAAAACTTCTGCAAGAAATTCTTCACATAGCAGCATTATTTTCATTGCCTTACCGATATTCTTCAGAAATTCCTTAAAAGAATCGAAGTGTGCACAGTTTATTTTATTTTAGAAAATTCGGCGAAAAATCGGATGAGACCTTTACGAAGTATTTAAAATTTCTATATAATTCAGAATACTCTGAAAAGATGGTTTGCAGGGTTGGTAGCCAAAGTTACCAAGTTCTTATTCCTCCTGAGACGGAGGTGAAAGCCAACATTTGGATTTTTGTAGCCTTTACTAAGACATAAGCTACAACCGGCACAAGAACCTCCTCTGCCTCTGAGATATCCAGAGCCGACCCATTCCTGGCCATCTCATCAGCCATCTCGTTGCCATGAATTCTGCTGTGCCCCGGCATCCAGATCAATGCAACGGCATGCCTGTCAGCTAAAGCCATAACGTTCTCCCTGCACTGTTTTGTTATGCTGGAGGTTATGCCTACAGAGTTTTGGATGACTGATGACTACGCTGGTGCCTACCTTAGCGTTTACAATCCTTGTACGAAGCATGGTAGAGATCCACTTTCCAGGAAGTTCTTCTTAGTGACTGCTCTATCGCCTCAGGGCTAACGAAATTGAGCGCCCCTCCTATGTCCAGGAAGGCCACCAACCTTACTTAAGACCCCATGGAGTGCACGTTCTGTGGAGCGCCCTTTATGGTAAGCATGCAGTGCAGTCGACAATTCTCCGTTGCCTTGTTTTAAGCGAATGTGCATGTCGAAAGTTGTCAGTACAAAAGACGAGATACTGATGGATCTGAAGTCCTACAGCTGCCAGTTGCCTGTGGAATAGCTTAAGTTGAAAGCTTTATGATACTCTTTCCTGAGTTCCGAGATCTTCTCACGGAGGATATTGAAATGAAAATGATTTCCGACCAGACGCCCTCCAGTTGTCTACCTTAATGGTACCTCTACTACTACAATCATTAGTTAGGGCTAGGAAAAGTGCACGTAGGAGTGCTACCCAGATTACCAATTATTAAGTTAGAGCTTAGAATGTAATCGAAAAGAAACTCACCGCGAAAATTTATTTCCAAGCTGCCCCAGATTGAATCCCTGATTTTGCAATCGCATCGGATAAGTAGATTATCCGTTTGAAAATTCTCCCCTAGACTACGAACCACATCCGGCGCTGCGTCCTCTTTGTATGGCATGTAATACGCAGCGATGACATTGCTGGAACCACCAGCCGCTTTGACTCTCGTAGCTATTAAATCCGATGAGCCGCGGGAACGGATGAGAAAAATGTGGCAATGAGATTTAACCACAAATCCTACTTCAGGCTTACTGTCCTATTTCTTGTACAATGAGTGCGATATCGACATCTCCTTCCACCAGGAAGACGGAGAGGTTATCCGTGGCTAACTTCGAGTGCTGGAGGTTAATCTGGACAATCTTCAGACCCATTTTCAGTTCCAGTCCCGCGAGCAGTATGCGTTTCAGCAGCTTATTTGCGTCGTCGACCACGTCAGGCTATTCTTCGTCAGCATTGTTCGCCCGGAAAATTTTGACTTTGGGTCGCCGGATACCAAAGCGAAGGAGACAGTCAGCCTTTTCCAATGGCTCGGTGGCTTTGAGGAGTAAGAAAAACGTGCTGGTTGTTTGTGACTTCTCATACTTAAGGATCACTCAGTCGTTCATGAGCCGGTTGTGTGTTGGCAGCGCCCCGCTATTCATCTCCACACATGGGAGCCAAATGCGAGCTCACGTCCCTGTCACTGGCAGGGATTGGCTTGAGTCTCAAACTTCCCAAGAATTTTTGGTGCTCGCCGAGCTGTTCTCCAGCAAAGCCTTTGAGAGTTGATCCCCACATTTGACTACCCTCTAACCGCGCACTACCTGTGCAGAGTCAAAACTGATGAGATTGCCACCCGGCTCCTGCCATGACCTGGTTAATGACCATTTGAGACAGCCGCGCCTCAATCTCCCCCACTTATCAAGCACAGGCTTCGCCTTGTTTGAAACTGCATCTACAAGTTCCACCAGCAGGATAGCTCTTGC